TATAAACCAATCAAGGTAATCAGTGAGTCAATGAAAACAAGGATGAGGATTGTGTACTTTAGAATAATAAAATTAATGGTAGTATGGGGATAATACGAATGTGTAGAATGGCAGGTTTTCAGACAGACCAAATAGATCAACGCTTAGAAAATGACACAAAGGTTGCGTAACACTGGATGATGAAAGCACTGAATAAACAAAGTTTGAATGTGAATATAGTACTAGTGTGAAATGAGTTTCAGACTGTTCATTCAAATCCCTTATGGCCTCAACTATATGTAAAAGGTGAGTCCGAACACCATCGGGAAGGTTCGATGGAATACTGTAAATCATTTTGAACGGTTTCATTTTATCCACTATCAACTAGATGCAACAAAATAGAGCTTATACATTTAACGTATCCTTTTCCCAGCCTCAAAGGTAGGTGTTCAGTAATACGTTGGTTAAGTTGCCTGTTTTTTTCGCCCGATATAACTGTCTCTACACGAGCAATTAAACTGGTAAATACACATGGAAGTGGTGAAACTAGGTAACTTATCACGAGGCAAATCGTTGACTAGAAAACTGCAAACAGAGATTAGCTACATAAAATGTTATTTTAATGGTTCTCGATAGTCTTTGGAATAGGATCTCAGTAAGTATATCTCCATTAAGTTGTAACTTCATGAGTAGTGGTTTCTTACGAACAGTTACTGCATCAAGTCCACTGCCCACTCTAGTCATCTGCCTCTTTATAAAACTGCAAGGATAACCTGTGTAGTAGGCCCCGAAGAACTGTCAAGTAAACCAAAATGTTAAGGTATGTATAATTAACAAAAATAGATTCAATAATACACAGATATGAAAAGTAATGCGTTATAATACAAAACAGTATTATCAGTGTTATGGATAATAATGGGTTACTTAAATGTTGTCTCTTCGGTACTGTCCACTAGAATTTAGTATACTCCAAAATTAGTTCAGAAGGCGATACTTGTTAGCTCTCCAGAGTCGACGTTGGTTAGTTTAATTGTTAGGATATTTGGAAGTAGAATGAGAGGTCCTGTATAATCCAAGAAGAATCAATGAGTATTCATATCAGACATGAGTCAACGGATCCAGAAGTTGGAAGTGGATAGAAGCACACTATATTTCCACGTTTAAAAGAAGAAGCAAAGTAATACTGCCACAACCAAAATTTTAAGTTGCACAGATAAACAACATTCGTCTTACAAGTACAAAGTGTGTAGTGTCGTCTGAACAGATTTTCCTTGCTCTGCTTGTCAAACATTTCACAATTCTTCTGCACCATATGGGTGTGGAACTAAAGAAGTGTGTCTACTTACATGCATATTTACCTCTTCTGATTCATCTCCTCATCTACTTAATAGAAAACCACAGAAGTTTAGCTTCTTGTCATATTTTTCTTTACAAGTGAAGGATGTATGTTGTTGAAATTCCTCATTAGTTCGTTCATATCCACATTCTGATCAGTGATAATGAAACTGTCGTTCACGTGTCTACAATATACACCTAGCTTGTGGATGATTTCCTTCAATGATCCATTCTCTAGTTTTGGTTTGCAAGAAGTCTGCAATCATTCGGCTTAATATCAAGCTTATTACGATTCCATTCACTTGTCTATAACATACATTATCGAAAATAAAATGTACATTTACTGTCCACCTAAGAAGTCATTCATCCAGGTTAGACTCCGGAATTGCAATGTTGATTTATTTCTCTATAACTTGTTGACATACGAAACTAGCTGTCTCAGTGAGCGATACATTAGTGAATAATGACGATACATCTAGTGATATCCTACATTTTTCACTCACATTCACCTCTGTCACTTTGAAGATAAGACTGAACACTTCATTCACACTGTTCTACAACTGGTTTATACAGCATTACTAAGATTTCGACCAATCACTGCAACTTTATGATATGGCAAGTTATATACATCTAAAACTGAATAAGAAGAAATTCCAAGTCTGTGGATTTTAGGTAGACTATAAACAAACGACTGAATACTATCCTAAGTGTAAGGTGATTCTTACAATGTACACAACATCTAGAAGACTATGTGATATCCTGCAGTTACAAATATATGACGTAATTTGCTAAGCGAATACCTATAACATACGCTCCCAACTACACATGAACTGTTTCATTTGATAGATGGTAGTTTATCGGTGTACCTTTTTAACAATAGACTGCTTAGTATCTGTCTTGCTACAAATGATCGGTTCTTTGTGACTCGCTTTTTTCTTCTGTCTAGTAAACTTAGTTTACTGTTGTATAAGGTGAGTGTAGTCGTACTATATTCAGCAGGCAGCTAATTTTTCTGTTATCTATCTAAAACTCCAATTGTCTGCTACCTTGTGTTTATTTATATTTCCGCCCTTGAACTCTCTCTTCTCATTTCCAGTTTTATGCCGCTTCTTATTATTATGTTGAGACTGAGACAGTCATCGCTTGACAGACTGCTACTTGTATAACACGGCTGAACTTGATTGTAGTCAAAAACCACAAAATCTAGGTCACTCCTAGTTCGAGTCCTGCTACGTAAAAGTATTGCCAAGTTTGGAATGCTTTTTGTGGCTATACCAATGTAATCTGTTTTAAATTCAAACGTGCTGGTTTCTTTCACTGTATTATTTTCGTTACGACGGCAAATAGAAATAAGATAGTTAGTTTGACGTCAGCGGGCGCCGCGTGAGACAGTGCCTCTCCTTATGCTTAAAGTCAGTGCTGATCAGAAACAAGTGATGGCCAGAAAAAAATTTCAACAGACGACCACTGTTGTCGGTTCGTTGTCATGGGACTCTGTAAATACACCCAGGATGCCTCACTTATTGACTCGGTTTCCTTACTTGAGCGTTAAAGTCACCTGCCACTATGACTACATCCGAACGTTTTGCTTACTGTGGCGAAATTGATAATTTATGATAGGATTCATCTTCTGCTTCATCCGAACTGCAGTTGGTGGTCGCATAGGCTGAGACTATGAAGTGGCATCGGTTAGCCTCACGATCCTTCATAGTTTTTACAGATCCATTCAATCGAACAACAGGCAGATGGCTGTTGACCAGCATCTAGTCACGTGTACTTTCCGCTCTATAACTCAATGCTATGCTTACACCGACCATTGGATCTCCGGAAAATCGTGAGGTGAATTTTGAAAGTTCACCGCACTGATCAGGCTAGGTCAATTTAATAACCACACTCGGAACTTGTATATGTTTCATAGACAGCATACATATATGGTTACAGATTCCGCAGTTCCGGCGGGCGATGCCTGTTGTCCGATTCGGCATAAGGTTCAGATGTTGAAAACCCCAATATGAAATCAATGGCAGGATCTTAGGACACCAGGAATGAAGCCACGACGGCTTTGATCGTTGGCAATGGTCGCAGACCCAGGCTACGGGAGTTGTAAGAAGCTTAATGTTAGTAACAGGAGGTGAAGGGAAAGTAAGAGACAGATGTATAGCATAGATTAAGCTTGATTGGATCTTGTATACTACTGGAAGGGTGCGGGCGGTTGACGGCTGTCGTACCGTAAAAGTTGCTTCTGCAGGTTTACTGAAAGACAAGATTTGTGTGACCGTAGAGCCCATGGGACATCTGCTTGAAGCCTGCTACATACAGCCTTTTAAGGATTAGTATCTTGAGATCTGGTTATTCTAACTCTGGATAGAAAAAACCCATATCGTTGGCACCGAAAACCGCAGGGCAAGGAGTGTGCTGCTTTTGGGCCAACCTTTGATAATGCCCTCTTCCCATCGGGAAGACAGCATCAGTGTGGAACTGCTAGTCATCCTGGGAAACACCTAACTACAGTCACACCCCATCTAGCTAGCAGCAGTACGACTTCTCCCTCAGACCCCCAATCATAGGGTAGTAATTTACACCACAACGGTAACTGCTTTTCGTCTTACCAAACCTTTCTGGCATGGTAGGACGTCGAGGGAGCAAGGGTTCCAGCCAGTAAAGCTCGTCGGGTCATTTTGATATAAAAGCAAGCCCGACCACCACAACAAAGCAGCAGTTATCGGTCAGATTTTGCTGTGGAAAGTTATCCCTGACAGTGAAGAATGCCTGAAGGCTACAGGCATTACATTACAGATACCTATGGAGTATCACTAACATCGGGAAGAACCACTAAGTGAGCAATGCTGGGTGGAGATCGCTAATTAAAAAAAGGCAGAAAATCAACCAAGACGGATCCTGTGTGCGATACGATGGCAAAGAATATATTACACAATGCCAACCTCCCTAGACAAGGTTATTTGTAGTGGGAAGTAAGGTAAAATAAGGAGGATGTGAACAGACGAATACATGAAACTTGTGATCGTTGACTTGTGCCACCCAGAAAATTATTGAGATTGTTTCTTGAAGTCTACAATTCAATCATAACTGAAGTTTACATATTCCGAGCTAACTAGACCACGGTAATGTGGATGCATTCGTTATTTCTGTTGACTGGCATGGTGAGCTGACTACGTCATACTTTAGATCCATTGGTGGTAGCCTGGATCATCAAACGCTTCCTCCAGTGCCTTAACACTATTATTACCACAGTTTTCATCACTTTTATTTTGTCTCATTCCCCCTCATTTCAAAGTGAAGCTGATGTAAATTGAAGCAATAAACACTGATTTCTGAGCTCTATGTTACTTTTTCTTCGACCTACTCTATCCAAGAAACCCAGTAGTACGGGTACATCGAAAGAATTACTGACAAACCAATAAGGTGAACTGTATGTTGGTGAATGAGTTACACTACACTAGTTTTTTTTTCAGTACAACCAACACCAATCTTGGATGAAGTTAGTGAAGCATTATTATCTATTAAATAACACACAAATGGTCAACACCAAGAAAATTCAAGAACTAGGAATAAATGACTTTATTTTTATAAGTTAGATTACAGATAAGAAGAAAAATAGTTCAGATTGAGTCAGTTTAAACTAGCAAATTAAATCAAACGTGTGAAGACTAAATCCCCTACTGTTTTTACACAGTTCTTGTCTCCGGTTTTTTGTCCTTGTACTGATTAAAATAGATCAGCATCTTCTTGATTTCTGCAATAGCCAAACCTGGATTCAACCCCTAAAGAGATTATCAAATTGTAAAATTTATCAGAGATTAAGACTATTATATAGTAAGGACAATAATAATAATGGTAATAATAATAATAATACAATCCGGTAGATACCTAGGTACTAAACCGTACTTATTGTATGTATTTTTTTATACTACTCAGTTGCTTACCCCAAAGGACGCATATTATTTTATTATTATTAGTCCCTTGGGTTCCTAGTGGAATATAGGGCTTCAGTAGCACGTCTCCAGTGACCTCTGTTCTCTGAGATCTTTTGAACCTGGTTCCACGACAGCCCAGAAGCTCGCATTTCCTCCTCGCACGATCTCCTCCATGTCACCCTCGGACGTCCAATTCGTCGCTTCACATAGGGACTCCACTCGAGGGCCTGACGCGTGATGTCCCCAGTCGGCCTTCTCAGTGCATGTCCAATCCATCTCCACTTCCTCCTGCATATTTGTTGCGTGATAGGTTCTTGGTTGGTTCGTTCCCAGAGCACCTTATTGCTTATTCTTTCTGGCCATCTGATCTTCAGTAGCGAGCGTAAGCAGTTGTTGATGAAAAAGTACGCATAGCGACGTTTTAATCTAAGACCCATCCTTAGAATTTACATACAGGCATTACAGCGCTCAAGATTGATCACTTATTATTATCGAAGCTCAGATGAACTCGAAACAATAATGTTTCATGAAACATTTATCACTAATGTGAGTAGGTTGATCCCTTCCTCCTGTAGTGGATGGTGAGTATTGTTCACTGTTTGTTAGAAGCTTTCTCAAACAAATATGCGTGACACAAAAAAGGTTCAGAGGAAATAACTTCGATGACTATACAACTGTATAGTAAAAAGAAGCCTTTGACCATTCATATATACTAATGAAGTCTCTCATAGAAGATAAAGGAATCCAATTCGACATTTTTTTTCATCGTTAATTCATGCATCACTACACGTGCAATACAACAGCTCATATAAAAAAGACTCATATGTTTTGAACTCAATTTATCAGGGCTATAGATTGAGTGACTACACTCTCATTATCTATTAAATGCTTAAACAAGTTGTGCACTTGTAGCCGTGTACATCTCTGACCTTTATGCTTTCGACTGAAAGTACAAGACTGTAAGCCTCCAAAAATTGCCACTAAGTGTAAAAGCCTCTCTGAAAATAAAATTAATAAATAAAAACTTATAATGGTGCAAACTTAAACAGAAGAAAAGCTAATTGTATTCCTATTGTTTGGTTGGAGGTAATGAACAGAAAGCCCTAGATATAGATTTCGTGCTTGTAGACCAATCAACGCATGTTGACCACTACTACTACTACTACTACTACCGGAGATCGATTGTGATTTGAGTAGCTCATTGGTAGGGTTTCTGATTGCAGCACTGTGTGAGGCAGGTTCGGACTACTAGAGAGAAATCGCTGTCCTAAAGGTTACTGATACGCCTTACCGATGACAACCAACAAGTATTAAACCTACGCCCAGGGCTTTATAACGATTGCCTCCAACCGAACGAACGAAACGCATCCAGCCACCTTGTGCACATACGTGAACTAGGTAGCGAGCGACGGCTATTGTGCAAGGGCTAATGACACTACCTAGCTGCCCAAACCTCGGTAGGTAGGGGTTGGCTCGTAATGATAACCTAATGGTTACCGTCTAACATCTATGGGTCTGCACAGAGATGGTGGATTTCCTAGTTTTGTGACAACAATGAAAAATCATCCATCGAATTCGGTCAGCACAAAAGACTATACAGCAAGAAAAATGTTACTTTTTAGTGACCAGTCAATGCAAACTACATTCCAAACAGAATTTTAGCTTACAATTTCGTATAGTTACACACACTAGTGACATCCATGGTTTGAAATCAAAACATTGAAAAATTCGAACTTTGGGTGCTTAAAAAACATTACATCAAAATTTATTCAGTTCACAAAATGTCAATCATAAAATGCGCCACAATAGTTTGCTACACTTGTAAAACAATGAAGCTATTCTTCAACACATACATGACCATTTGCATATGAGTAGATTGCTTTACTCACTTTTGGACAAGTTTCTGTACAATTCATTATAGTGTGGCAACGATAAACTGACCATTTATTCTGAAATTCAGCCAAACGTTCGTATGTGTAGTCATCACGTGAATCAGCTAACCATCTGTAAAAGATTAATGAAAATTATTTGAGGTCATTAGTATTGAAGTATCAAGGATGTATAAAAACAAACTAATTGAATGCGAATTATACCCGATGATGCAGTTAGAGAATTATACAGCAGTATATGAAGTGGGGAGAAAGACATAACTTTTGATCAAAAAAATGAAAATTAAGTACTCAACTCCATCAGTTAACCATACAATTTTTGTCATATAGTTCAATCTGTAATGAATGACTCAATACAAATGTAACTCGATGAGTACGCTATATACTAGCATAAAAGTAGGAAAGGCATAAATCATGAAAAAAAGAAATTATTTTTCTGTTAACTTTAGAAACTAGAATGTCTCATGTAAAAGACAGATGACTCAGAGGTAAAAGACTTCAGAAGACCAATTTGCTTTTAACGATATTATCCTCAAAAACTATAAGATTGCATTTAAGTATAAAGTGTGCAAACTTATTGGTAAAAAGTGTTAGTATACGCTAATCAATAATTCTCAGTATTTAGAGGCTAATAAAATAATATAAGAATGGAAATTACTTATGATACATAAAGATATTTGACAATATAAGCAAGTAAATATGAGTTGAAATCATGAATTGATAAATTTGTAACAAAGTGGAGTAGACAGTAGTCAATAAAGAAAGAATGAAAAATTATTCAACGAACTAAAGACAAGTACATGATAACAGCAACAAAAAAAAATAATTACGTTAGTTAGAACTAGGGAATGCAAAGCTGTTGTTGGATACTCAATTCCAGTGATTTTTAGTTTTGAATTATAATAGCCTCCTGGCAATGTAAAATAAACCTATCCTAACACTCTTCAAAAGATTAATCTGTACTCTATAAACTACTACAAACGAATCTTATAAAACTTTTCATTGTCAACTAAGTGTTGTAGTATGGAGGGATTGACTGACCTGAGTTAACCTCTATTGAGTGTTACTCGAAAGTGTTGACGTCAATATTGGAAAATCTTTCTCTGTGCATAACCTATGTATCTAGCTCCATATGAACAGGTGAGTTAATATATGAGAATTGAAATACCTAGCAATAGTAGTTTATCCTTCGCATATATGTTTACCATTCAGTAATTAGTATAGGTGGTTTGCACAGCTTCTACATAGAATGCTGTTTTGACAGTCTTTATTAGTCTACGTAATATGAATGTTATGGATAATGTTGTTATTATTTGACTTTACTTCATTGTTTAAAAATGCTTTAATAATTGAAACAGTTTGTTTCATATATGAATACAATTAACATAGATATACCGATGAAATACTTGAAGTAAAAGAAGTAAAAGAAGCACCTCAGATGTATAGTTCAGCTTTAATAACACATATCGCCAGAAAGACGGGGTTCACAATCATCATCAGGTCCACTGTTATCAGATTAATCTATGACTAAACTGGAAACAACTGCATTCAACCTAGTTATGAAGCAGTTCAAGTTCTAAAAAAGATATACTGATGAATATATTCATCGTTGTGACAAAAAATTTGACTTGTAGAGGGTAATACAGTTTTTCAGAGAATTTCACTCATCCATTAACTTTACAATGAAGGTGGAATCTCACTCAAATATACCATTCCTATATGTATTGTTAAGAAGAAGAGGCGATGAGACACTTGAAACATTCATTTATCGAAAATCTACATGTAGTGGACATAAAACAAACCTTCACAACCAGGTCCACATCAGTAGGAAAAGAAACTTTATTCATTCCCTTTCTTCTCTAACTCTTGTCACTTTAGGAGAGGAAATCCAGCTTCGAAGATCGATGTTCAACAGAAATAGATAACTAAAGAGAACCACAGATAAAAATTTGCATCCAAATACAAACTTATCAGTCTTGCATCAATGTGGAGAAGATAAAAAAAAAGGTAATGACGAACTTCGAATTCAACTGAGACAATCATATTTAGAAGACTGCAAACAGCTGAAATCCGGTTACTGAATAACAGGCTAAGACTGTAAAATAATAATAATAATAATGCTAGAGGACAGAACAAAAGCGTAAGTGTACACACATAAAAGGTAACAATAATCTACAAGATCATTAAAGTTTCTAGAAAGGAATAGAGTCAATAGGGTAAATTGTTTCCAGATATGCAGTATCTACTTGACAGATGCAAAGATGATGGAGAAAGAAATAAGAACTATGATGAAAATAAATGAATTATATTTGTAAAATTCCAATGAGGTAGGAAAATAATTTTCTGACACTTCGCAACCTCGTGAAAATCACTTCTTCAGAGAACAAAACAAGTACAAATTATCACATATTTAAATGGCGAATGGCGACAAATCAGATAACGATGTTCATAAATGATAATAATGTAGTGGGCGCTATTGATCACAATGGATATTAGTACTATGTATCGAGAGGCCGTAGAAATCATAGGCAATTACCAGCGATGGGTAAATATTCTGCTCAAGAAACCCAAGAGACAATGTGAGCGCATAAAGAGCGAATCGAGATAAAAGTAGAAGAGGTAATGAAGCATATCGTGCAAATGACTGTTTTAGTGAAAAGTGTACAATATTTCATCACTACTGTACAAGATGTCAATAATGAACATTCCTTCCTTCATTTCAGTCTTGTTGTTTCCTACAACAATAAAACGGGAATCAATATCATTGTTATCACTTATTAGTCTGCAAAAGTAAGGGGAAGATGTGAATGTGTGCACACTTGGTGTGAAAAAAAACTATGGATGAAGAACTGTTTGTGTGTGTGTGTGTATATATATATATATATACTTCAGTTATGATCACTGCGTGGAATCGTGTTACTTCGGATATACTGTCCAAGTAGGTTGGACAGTTAGGCTTTCCTTTCTCTTGATTGGATTAGATAATGTGATATGTTTCAGTTACTCGTCTTTCCTTGTAGTTAGAGAATCCTTTCTGAATAATAATCACTGATAATTATGATATTTATCCCCATATTACTATTATTATTATCACTATCATGTATGAACAATGTGATTTGACTTGTAGCCATTCACTATTTAACATGTAACAACTTGTACAGGTTTTATTCTCATCAGAAGAAACGACTTCCACAAGGTCGCAAAACGTCAAAATATATTTTTCTACCTCATTGAGATATCACAAACATAGTTCACTGATAATCCATATGCCCAGTACTCAACTTATTCAAATCTATCATGTCAAATTTTGATCCTAAAGTCTATGCAACAATATAATAAAAATGATAAGAGTGAAATAATTAACGATGAAGAAATCGACAAAACAAGAGGAAGTGGATTAAGACCAAGGCAAAATCAGAATCTACACGTTTCTTCAGCACAGAGATTAGGCTTGGACCGATGAATGGCTTACGCTCTCACTATGCACAGGTTAAGAAGTCATGAGCACTCTAAACCATTTGGTATGACTTAGTAGTTAACTCTGGAAAGGTGACTACTGCGGATGTCTGTAACCTGAACTACCTAGGTATTTAAACATCGAACTCATTTCTTATGTTTGGATTTATCTTTCGACAACCAAATAGGATGATGCTTTGAAATGCGTTCGGAAAAAGTACGCTTATACAGCCAATACAATTCCTTCCACAGGAGCAAGTAAACTTTTAAACATCAAATATTATGTACTTGTTATGAAGAAAGGTATATACGTCAAACTAGTTTACTAGTTTCAGTTAGATTATCGGAAAATAATATCATAGTCAACGTATGACTAATAGATGTCACATAGACCAATAATCTGGAATGAAAGCCCAGTCAATGCGAAGCTCGAAAATCGACAATCATTCAAAAGGATGGGTCAATATAATTAGGTATGGAAGGAAAGACTGATTATGGAGTTCTTGTTCATCGAATTACTATGCAACACATATTAATAAGAACGACGTGACATTTTTTTCGGAGAACTCAAAAATCCTCTTACGACTGAAAATAATGAATACAAGTCAACAGAAATACAAAACCGGATACTGTACGACTACTTTATTATGATTAAAAATTTATCCTTGAAATATCAGCGAGTAGACAGTGCCCCATTTAACTGCGTGTTATATGAAGGAAGCTTATTCACTATGGAATTACACTCTACCACACAGCCCACATTATTAACACTGTCATCTGGGCAATACTTGACAGATACATTATTCAACTTTGCACTTAGCAAAGATAATTCTCATTTCAAATGATCTATGACCACAAAAATGATTACAATATCAACGATCTAGCAATCAGTCCCATGAATGATGGGATTTTTAAGTTGAAAATAGTATATTGTTACTCCTTTAACGTCTGTATCTCACCATCTAACTGAAAAAAGTGGATTTTCACTGACTGATATCACGAATTTGACAGCTAAATCGGTTGTATTTTGTGATAAATTTGGATACTTTTTGCTACAGTACAACTTACTAGCAGACTATTGCAACACTCTTCAAGTTGGTGATGAGAATATCCCATAATTTCTCATTTCATTGTCATGTTTCACCTAGACTAACATTAATTGATCACACTGAGATTATGAATCTCCCCTAAATTTATTCCTAAAGAATCGAGAATTTCAAATCTCATTCATAAAACGAAATTCCGATCCTTTAGTTTGACGTAAGCACATCGTTCTAAATTTCACCACATGTTAGCTTACTTGTTGTACAATGATCTTCACAGCCCTACGAAAACTACTAGCTTCCAAAAAGCTTCATATGGGTTTAAAAATGATGATAACAAAATAAAATGAAAGAACACAACCAACGGGGTTAAAATATTCATAATACTTCCGTGAATACAAGGATCAGATAATTGAATTTGCAACGAACATCCGGGATACAGCAGAGTTCTCGAAATGCAATGCTTAAAGGAGCATGGGATGATTAACGAGATTAAGCTGCCGATAAGGCCCCAGTTTCGCCTTATCGCAGGTTCGCTAGTTTGAAACCTGATGCAACTAAGATTACAGTTAAACCTCAATTATCACTCTCATACAAAAACACTAATTTGTCAACAAAACCTACGTGAAATGACTCAGTAAACAAGATTTCTATTTCTATTACAAAAGATAAAAAGCTCAGTGCAGATATTCTTTTTGATTATTTTATCCGCCCAGTTGCATAATCCCAATTTCACATGCTGCTTTCATTCATGTACATTGTACTTGTTGTTAAACACAAAAATCAAAGTCGAGCTACATGAAAGTCGTAGTAATTTTAAACGTGTTGTAAGAAAAATTAGCCATTATGACGGGTGAGAAAATTACTCACAGGAGACATGTAGATACAAGCAAATCAAAGCATAGCCTCATACAGAAGTGCACTGGTTTAAGTAGCAGCAGTATGAAGAGGCGAAGTGGACGGGGAAAAAAGTGATAGTGAAATAGACAACCGTATGGAGAAAGAATTTTTCAAGTGATCAAGATTAGTGAAAATGTTTAAACATGAGACATAAAACAATTATTACATCTGCACGACTGTGACCAGTTCTCAGACATCACCTAGAGTCATCAAACATTGATTCCCGTTATCTTGAGGACCCCAGTCAAGTAGTCTACAACAATCTATGCGCCTCAGACTAACAGTCAGAGAACTCATTGAATAGTGTAAAGTCTTAGTCTGTCTACGCTTAGAGTCCTTTCAAGTCTATGCTACTTCCGCAAACATCGCATGTTCAGACAGGTAATGAACCAGCATGGGGAACACGTGTCCGAACCATCTCAGTTGATGCTAGTTTACAATCACTTGCGCTCCTCACCAAATACCCTAGGTCGCAGCACGGATAACACGGTAACTTCCGCACATGTGAGTAAAGTTAAGAAAAAATCGATGGTCAAAACCCTGAAATATCTTCTCAGCTACTTTCAACAGATGTCTCACAGCTGTATTATACGACAGAGCGGGTTGATGCATAGTATAACTGCATTTCAGAAGGAAGTCGGATATCTCACCAGCATCAGATAAGACGCAAGTTAGCGAATGCCAAACGGGCCTCTATGTCCGAGCTGCGATTTCGTCAGCAAACAACCCATTCGAGCTGATGCAAATTCTCAAGTAGGCAAATTAGTCAATGTAGTCCCATAGCTTCACGCCCTAACTTTCAAATGAGAGTATCTGCAGACTGATCATGGAGTATCATATCGAATTTACAGGTGTGAAACGCATACTAAACTTACTCAGCTTTCTGATCAAAGCGTTCAGAAAACCTTGCACTTTGTCAGCGTCTTCATCTAGCAGGACAATGACATTTACGTGTTCTAAGTCAATCAGATGCCCTCCCCAAAGAGTAGGTTAGTCCCTAAGATGGCAGGGATACCTAAAATTCTTTTTATCAGTACTTCCATAACGAAGATTAGCTACCAAGCCAGTTTCTGGCCTAGGCATTCTCAGAATAAGGCACGAGATGCTATTATTATTGCCACCTCAACCCATTATTTAGTCACAGTTACGATTGAACAGATCTATTACCTGTTATGAAGCAAAATGTTTCTTCATTGAATGGGTATGTTTCGTGTCTAATGTGACAGCAAAGAGTGAGTATCATGATAATTTATAGTTTCATATTGGACTGCTTATTTGATATTTCACACAGTGAAACAGTGTTACTCATTGACCGGATAATGTTTCGAATAGCGTTTATTGTTCATATTCATATCATGGGTAACTGTAAACCTTTCACATCCTGTTTTTACCATTTACTGTTTACTATTTCCCCTCCTACTCCTTCATTTGTCGTAAGGGTAGTAGAATTCTCGAAATATCTGGAATAGATATTGAGTCATTCCTATGACACCTTTTCCATGCTAATCCGACGAACAAAACTTCAGTTATCGATCTCTCCCTGCATCCCACTAAGTTAGTTTTAAGGACTGTAATTCTATCCCATCCTTTTGTGTGGTTGTGTGTGATTGCATGAATTACAATAGTTGGGCTTTTCTATAGATTCTTTATCTTACGCTAGGGTCGATCATCATGGATTTGGTCAAGTTCTTGTTTTCTGTTATTCTAATTGACCACGTTCGACTACTTTGACTCGTGTATTTGACCTCACAATCGTTGCATGGACTGTGATAAAGTAACTTATTTTGTGTAATAGGCTTAATAGATTCATGTAGCCTGCAAAGCCTGTTTCTTAGTGAGTTTTCAGGTTTAAATGCCACTTTAATACCAGTTTTATTAAGAATCTTATGTAAACCTTCTGGGATACCTTTCTTATACAATAACACTGTGGAGGTTTTGAATTCTCAGTTGTCGGTGCTACCATTATTAGTATCTATACGGTCTATACCTGTCTTCATTATCATTTGCTCATAATAAATTGAACATTTCTGTACTATTTCATGAAGGTAATTGTTGAGTACCAGGATTTCTTTTATTCATCTTACTTTTTGTCGTAGATTTTCTCTTACGCTGCTTAGATAGTTCACTAAGCCTATGTTAACTAATATGGCATAAGATAAGATTAAATCTAGCTATTATGAACCCCTGATAGAATGTTCCAAGTTAACATAGGATGCGGCGAGAGATTGATAACTGAAGTTTTGTTCGTCGGATTAGCATGGAAAAGGTGTCATAGGAATGACTCAATATCTATTCCAGATATTTCGAGAATTCTACTACCCTTACGACAAATGAAGGAGTAGGAGGGGAAATAGTAAACAGTAAATGGTAAAAACAGGATGTGAAAGGTTTACAGTTACCCATGATATGAATATGAACAATAAACGCTATTCGAAACATTATCCGGTCAATGAGTAACACTGTTTCACTGTGTGAAATATCAAATAAGCAGTCCAATATGAAAGTTAATTTGGGGGTTATCGGGGATTTATGCTGATTTTATGCTGGTATTCATCATGAATTGACAATGGAAACCTGAGAGCACTGGACAGCTGTTTTGTCCTAGTATAGGACTCCTCAGCAGTGTGCACCCATGACTTTGGTAGAGATGACAAATACTCAAAGATGACGTTAGGTGATGGTCGCAGTAATTAAAGGCCCTGGGTTCGATCCCTGGAGGGGGTGATGGGTGTGCATTGCTGAGCAGTCCCGTACTAGGACGAAGCAGCTCGCAGGTTTCTAGTGTCCCTCCAACTGATGTCATCCCATGATGAATATCAACTTGAATAATATGGACTTATTTTATCCAGTGAAGTGAGTCAGATAAGTGACGCTGCTTTTCAACATATTCTGGACAACAGTAAAAGACTGCGAATTGCTGGTTGAAAATCCATGTACCTTATTGGGTGTCCTACTGACATAAGACTTCTTAAAGTATATGGCTCAGGTAAACTAGAACAGCTACTGGTTATTATCAGGGATAGTTGCTGCTTACATCTCAGTTCATATTAGGATGATGAAAACTCGTATGGCTGGTAAAAGTGCTGTGGTTTTTCGCTCAATATATTGGTCTCCCTATTATACACCAGAATAGACCAATTTCATGAAGCTGAGAAGTGGAACTTGTCAAACTGACACGCTTCTAGGCTACCAGATTCGCCCACTATATCCATAACACTCTCTATGTCTACGGAACATTAGTCCATACGTTTTAGCTGACTGTGAGTTAGCCTTGAGACTAGCTCACTTTCATAGTTAGATACAACAATATAGGAAATTTAGTTTCTTCAATGTTATTTGGAGCATCCCTGAAGGAAACTAAGGATAATTTAGCCGAAAACGAGAAATAGAACTCGTGAGTAGGAGTAATAAGTTGGTCGGCATTTTCCCACCTTGAAACATTATTTCCTCACATACCTGAAATCAAATCTCTTATAATATACATGAATGACTTGATGGCTATTATCAAGAGTCACAAAAATTATGTCATCAGCGCCAGTTACTTATAAACTAGGCGTAAAAATATTTATGTATCCATAAAGTGGAATATCATTCTTCATTTTATTGGTCAAACGTACGAAACACAATTTCTTGATTAAAACAAATATTTCGGAAAAGAAAAGCCGAAATCCACTCAACAACCTTGTACACATTCGTGCAGTAGGTAATGCCCAAGACCTATTGTGTGGGGACTAAAGATACTACCTGGTCAGATAAACCTCGGTAGGTGGAGCTGCGTTGGACTTCGTGACCCGTCCGTTAGGAATCAAGTACTTACACAAATGAGCCACCCCTCCCCATACATCTTTAAAACTTGATAATAATGCACTTGATACTTACCTATAAGCCTGGAGGAGAACCGCAGGACCTAAATACTTGTCCCCATTCCACCAATAAGATGGGCATGACGTTGAACAGCATGCACATAATATACACTCATACAGTCCGTCTAACTTAGCTCTATCTTCAGCTGACTGATAATATGTTTTCTTTCCAATGTCTTCTTCGGTAACATTTTTCTTTTTCAAATAAGGTTCAATAAAGCGGTATTGAGCGTAAAAGTTACTCATGTCTGGAATTAAATCTTTTATAACATACATATGAGGTAATGGGTATATTTTAGTTGTTTTGCTAACATCCGTATCGATTTCCCTGAAAGAAAAAGAAAAAGATTGAAAATAAGACGAAAAGTAAAACACGAGCAAGACAAGGTTACCCTACTATCACCGATGATCTTCCTGATTGTGGTCAACTGGATCATGCAACAAATTGTGAGGAACGAGAAGACTGACATACACTGTTAGACCGATGAAAAGATCCTAGAAGATTTGGATTTCGCCGACGATGATGATTTATTTCTTGTGGCACAAACTCGAAGATCTACAGGCAAAAACCAGCAAGTTGGAGGAAGAGGCGAGGCAGCGAAGATGGAACTTCAGGTGAACGTAGAGAAGACAGAGGTGATGAAGATACCCAACCAACAACAACAGCAAACACCAATCACCATCAACGGGAGAAATCTAAACGAAGAAGTCTCTTTCATCTATCCAGGCAGTGTCGTTTCAACTATAGGCGGCACAGGCACACACGATGTCAAAGCCAGGATCGAAAGACAGCAAGACAGGTCTTCATTAATCAGAAATCAGTGTGGAGATATATTGCACTCAAGATAAAGCGTGAACAACATCCGGATTTCCAACACTAATGTCAGTCAAGTCAGTGCTTGTATATGGTTCAGAGACTTGGCACGTTACAAAAAGCATTTCCAACAAACTGCAGTCATTCATCAACAGCTGCTTACGCTCGATCCTGAAAATCAAATGGCCAGAATAATAAGAATAAGCAACAAGGAACTCTGGCTGGCTGTCAAAGAACCAACCAACAACCTATCGCCTAACAAATATGCAGAAGAAAGTGGAGATGGATTGGGCATACATTGAGAAGACCGGTTGAAGACATCACGCACCAGGCTAGGCCCTTGGGTAGAACCCAAAGGGGAAACGACGAGTTGGGTGTCCGAGGGTGACATGGAGATCATGTGAGGAAGAAACGAAAGCTTGTGGGCAGTCGTAGAGCGAGGTTTAAAAGACTGCAGAGAAGAGAGTGAAATGGCGACGTGTTACTGAAGCCCTATGTTCCACCAGGAACCGAAGGGACAAACAATAATAATAATGATAATAATAATAATAATAATAACAATAATAACAATAACAGTAATAGCAATTAGGCAATAGATTACCAGATACAAGCAAGATGATTACGACCTCCGATATTCATTGCACATGAACCACATATGCCTTCACGACAAGAACGTCGAAATGTTAAAGTGGGATCTTGTTCATTTTTTATCTTTATTAAAGCATCCAAAACCATAGGGCCACAGTTATTGAGATCAACCTGATAGTTTTGCATTGAAGGTTTTTCACCAGGTCGATCTGGATTCTGTTTCATGATTTTAAAAAATAAATAAAAGTACCATAAAAGCTTCATTTAAAAAAACTCAACATATACATTGTTTTTGAGGCAGTTGTGGGGATTTGGAAAGATTTCAAGTTTTTACTCATCGCAGACTGACATTAGTTGGAGGAACAAAGAAAACCTAGGAGCACTGGACAGCCGTTCCTTCCTGGTATGGGACTCCTCAGCAGTGCGCACCCACGACCCCGCCAGAGATCGAACCCGCGACCTTCAGGTTCCGTGGCCAGCACATTACCACTGAGCCACCGGGTCAGAATCCAATGGTCCATATTTCTAACTTATGTTAGCCTACGACAGTTACTCAATGATGACAATGGGTGGTGGTTGCATTATATCGTGAGCTAACATAAGTTGGAAATATGGACCATTGGATTCTGACCCGGTGCTGGCCGCGGAACCCGAAGGTCGCGGGTTCGATCTCTGGCGGGGTCATGGGTGCGCACTGCTGAGGAGTCCCATACCAGGACGAAACAGCTGTCCAGTGCTCCCAGGTTTTCTTTGTTCCTCCAACTGGTGTCAGTCTACGATGAATAACAACTTGAAGTATACATTATTGTGAAATATTGTAGACAAACTACTCAATGAAGAATATTTCGTTAAATGCTGTTAAAATGGACCAAAGAAAGGAAAACAGAAAATTGGATTGAGTATATTTTTGCCAATTATTGCACTCATTTCACAACATTATTATATAGCTTTCTTACGAACATTTTTTTGATCCCTTGGTAGTTACTTGATGCCATTGCGCAAACTTTGTCCCCCATTTTGTAGCCAGAGTGGCTTCGTTGTCATTTGTGTATTGTGGTCACATCATCAAGCCTTGTGAATGTATTAGCTGGAAATTCCTTTAAAAAACTATTGGCAAAGGATATGTTGTGTGCAATTCAGTCGGTAAGTTATAGGTGCAGGAGAGCATAGGCGAGTATGGTTATATTCAGACAGTGAGGCGTATAGAATGTTGTAATCACATGACAGAGTTGAAGTTATAATTTCCAGCTAGCAGTATTATTCAAGTGAAATAAATATTGTAGCCATACTGATCTTGGTGATAAGCACAGGAATCCAGGACGCACACTTCGTCCTACTTTGGACTCGTCAACTGGATGTATCTGCACCCCAGTGAGTGATGTTATTCCCACTGGGGCTCGAAGTCAGTACCCTTCGCTTCAAACGCCACAGCTTTAGTCACTAGCAGTCTACGCCGCTATTAAAAATCTAATTTAGCTTATCATCACAGGATGCAAAGCAATAACTCTAGGTTTTAGAACAGAGGCAGGGCAAATGTCAGGTCACAAAACCTGAGATTTTATAATTCTTGACATTCAATATCACAATTCATTGCAAAACTCAAGATGACTGATACCGTTTGACAGATTTGTACCTGAGATAAACAGTAACGTTGCCACTGAGGCGTTCAAACGACAACTGACTCTTTGTGTAACTCAACTAGTCACACCAGTTCATCATAGGAATACTGTATTGCCTACTACCAGGTCAATCACTTTTACAATATAACCATAACGCTAAATAACTCAGCAATAGTGTGCACTATTTAGTGATACATAAATGAATGTGAACAGGAGCCAGCAGCATTAATCCACCTAATTCTCCTATATGAGCAAAGAAAGTTTGCCGATGAAACTGAAGAGCAAAAGTATCGTTTAGTGGCCGAGATATTTGACTTCTGATTGTTTACCCATAGATTCAAAACCACTCTAACTATTTTGCCTTCGGTAAATAAGTAGTATCACGAATCTTTGGATACAGCGTTGCCCACAGCCTGGTACACATACTTGAACAAAGTGCCTAAACTTCGGTGCACTGAAAATTTGCTTGGTAAAATTCAACCAGTACTAAAGATTGAATGCTATAGTATTAATTGTCATTCAGTAACACAGTAGTTACCTTCAACTTCGTTTCAACAAAAGCAATTGAGTACAAACACATAATACTTCAAGTTTTTGCACATTATAATCCTACAAAAAAATAAATCACGTAATAAAACAAAAATTGGAAGGTGAGATAAACACCAAGGCAGTTTTCAGAAGTATAGCTAGAGAATGCAAAGATTCAGGGATTCGTTCAATTGAATCTTTGCTTGAATTGAACTCAATCTCGCTTCAGAATAGTTTCGGAGTAGCGGAATCCTTTTCTGTAAGTGGTACTTGTCCTTCAATTTCCTTAAAACCCTCTGTGTATATTATCTTTTTTGTGATGTCTATGTCCCTTATATTCCATACTAACCATTTGTACATTTTGATCTGTTTTTCTTCAAGCCCTTTTTCCCGCACGTGTGCCACATTTTATATAACCTGCTAACATTCTGATTGGCTCCTACCCCTTTAAATGTACTAATTATTCCTTGTCTTTCAAGGTTACTATGATCTCTATAAATAGGGTCTCTTTTTGCTGATAAACATTTTCAGTACGAGACACTATAAACTCAACTGATTACCAGCCTTCTGAATTCACTCTGCGAATTACTCGGGTTGAATCGTCCGAACCTTCGACTCCTAATCGTTAATTATTATCATTCACTCTCACAGCTCCGCATCGTAACATATCTACTTTGCTTCAGATACTTATTCAAGATTTCAAAAGCCGAAAACACTATGAAAGTGAATAACCATTTCGGTGGTTACATTTCCAAACAATTTACAGTGAAATAATATTGAACAAGAGAAGAAAAACATGGTTGAAGAGTGATTTCAGTGACTAATTAAAATACCAAAAATAAATAGTTAGTGGAAGAAGATCCGGTCGACAAGTTATACTACGAATTACTTTTTGACTCGACCAAAATACTTACTCTTAACAAACATTTGCATTTCAACCTGATATTTTCAATGGAGGGAAGGTTTTACCACACGGGTCTGTGGTTCATTGGTTTAGGTAGTTGATTTTCAACTGGTGGCTTACGGGTTTGAACACTGCTTCATCCACCGAGGTCTGAATAGCCAGGTGGTATCATTAACCCTCATATGCAATAGGTGTAGCTCGCTGTCTACTGCACAAGCCATGCACAAGGCTGCTCAGTGCAATCTGACCTTCCTTTTACTACATCGAAATAATGAAGTTGGAAATCAGCAAAACCTCTGACACACTATAATTAAATACAATAGGGATTTTCAGTCATTTATGTTAGTCTATAGTTTTACTAACCAAACGTTAAACAGTAGACACTTGTCGATCACAGAAATATTACGTCAGTACAATCTGTGCTTTTTGTTATCAATGAAAGCGCTAAAACCAAATTTTATCGCCCTTGTTTATTTTTAAAGACAATTAAACATGGTCACCAAGACATGCACCGTGCAAAATGAAACTCAGCAATTAGGTACATATTTGTTTATAGAAAACATAGAAGTCAAAAATATCGCGTGGGAGTAGTTGACTTTACTTAGTTACCTAAGTCTTGGTAGGTACAGCTAGATTCAAATCCACAACCCACTTGCTGAATATCTTAAGTTTACACCGACCAGCAACAGCTACAGTTGATGATTCTGCTCTGAGGCCAAAATCTGAACACGTGAATCTATTGTAAACCTAAAACCTATGGTCAGTAATCGAATTCTCAGGCTACTGGGCCATATTTCTTAAATTCCAATCAACTGTAGATACCCTTTTTGAACAAATATGCTTTACACAATTAAATCATTTAATCTGATGTCCAGGATAACACTTTAAATCAAAAAGCCATTACAAAGTTGATTCACAAGAACTTACCCATCTGTAAATGGAGAAAGTTTTTAAACGTGGAGCCGATTCTGCAGTAGTTGAGGTGCAGCGAATCTGAAATTAGAAAATAGGAAGAACCTACTGCTTAACAACCCTTATGAGAAAACAACATTACGCGTTACTTCACATTTACTTAAAGAAAACCAGAAGCAAACTAAAAATGTCTACAATTAAGTATTGAAACATAGAAGATATGAGAAAGTATTTTACTCATTGTATACGGTGCTATTTACGTGTACAATCTCGGTCTAGTATATCAGAACAAATAAAGGAAGCAAATATTTTAAACGATTACTAAACATTTCCATCTTGCCAGGAAGACCCTTTTCAAGAGTATGAATCTGACATTAGGTTTTTAGGTTGATTTTCAAGTTTGATATAGAAGGTGACCTTCATGCTCAGTGGAGTTATGGCTCATTGATGCTCAGTTGAAAAATCTCTGCGATTAGTTGGAGCCTCTTATTCCAACATCTTCAGATTACTGGAATTGGTTAAAAGCTAAAGTAGTCGATACAGCTCATCAATTTTATAGCTTAGAGCTAAGACAAAAAAGTATTTTAAATTTCCAACACTTCAAATCTTTGGAACGATTACAAAGTAGGTCTGATGTAGTCATTCTTAAACTGAAAAAGGGATCAGGCGTTGCTGTGATGAATAGATTTGACTCTAAAAATTCATCCCAAATTCATATCTGATGACCCGTCAGAAGATATAAGAAAATTGGAAGTGAAAGTGACCGCTAATTTAGTGAAAACTTTTTGAGTATGAATGTTATTAGCAAAGAAGAATCTGATACATTGAAACCTATGGCATTAGAATTTTCTAATTTAAATGGATTACCTATGATTCATAAAACTAATAAAGCCTTATATCCTCTATTGTCTGTTTTGTTCTCCTGCACATAAACTGGTGAAATGGTTTCTGAAAATGATAAATCCAGTTTGCAACGAATGCCTTAAATTTTCATTGAAAGATACTTTGCAAATTTAACAACATGAATATCCAAAACATGACTATCCGCTATTTCGGTATAAACTCTTGATTCATAAACCTATCCTTCCTCAAGATCACAAACATTCTTTGTGACCACATATCCTCTAGCAAATTTTCATCTGTTACTCCAATTTTCTTAGGGAGCTATTGTTGCTATGTGGTCATGTTTATTTCACATTTGAAGGTGAACACTCAAAAAGTTGATGTAGCTGTGGGAATTCTCTTATGACGACTACCAGCTGATGTTTATATTATCATATATCGAAGATCTGGCTGATCTCATACCGAGAGTTTCTCTTAGCAAGAGATATGTCGATGACATTATAGTGTTTTGTGAGAAGCCAGAAGATACGGTTTGTCTGTTGAAGAGACTTAACATTATGCAAAATCAGATCAGCCTGACATATGAGAAAGAGAATAATAATCATCCACCATTTCTAGATGTAGTCTTGAGTCGAATGGACGGTTCAGAAAGGCAGTCAGTCTACAGAAAGCATAAATGGACTGGACAATATCTGAATTTTCACAGTATTTTTACTATCCAACACAACCGAGGTCTAATAAAATGTATGTTCAGTAGGACCTATATTATGTGTACATCAGACAAGATGCATGAAGATGTCAGATTACTGACCACAACACTTACGGGAAACGGATCTCCGTCGAAGCTTATAAACCATTGTAGAAGTCAGGTAACACAAAGCCGACTCCATACTTGGTTCCTAAAAATGTGTCCATATCACCCTACTATACAAAGGGGAGTTGAACAGTATGATTTGAGACGGAAGCAAACACTAACAATTGGTAGAATACGTTCTGCAGCAAAGCTTATTGGAGTAGAAAAAACAAAATACATGCTTCACCACTAACCTAAACACTGCATACATGATTACGTTATATCCCTCAATGTTTGCCAACTTGTTATTATTATTATTATTATTATTATTATTATTATTATTATTATCATCATCATCATCATTATTATTACAACAAATACATGGTGCACCAAGGGCACCAAGAAATGCACCACACGAAATAGTATAACAACTGTAAATAAATAAACGATGGGAAGTGGATAAGTAATAAAGGAAAACAATAAGAAGGGGATGGTCAGAAGGCCAGTCCAGTAAGGTAAGTTAGAAACAAAACATTCATTACTTTTCAGCAGCAGAAGGTAGAAGGAAGTTACAGCATGACCACCACTGGCTTCGATTCTGAGTCACATCTGATAACGGCCCAATTCACTGAGTAGCATGATCTCTCGGACCCCATCCAAGGAGTCTTGGTGCATCAGCAGATGCTAACCCGATACAACTATCCTTCATCCCATGGGGCCACGTCTTAAACTCACCACCGCCTCCGCTCTTTTCATCCAGTCCCAGGACTAGCATACAATGAACGGCATGGAAGCCGTTCAGACGACATGCATAACACATGTCCAAGCCTCTGTTCCCAGATGACTTCACTTGTTGAATGACACACACGTTGTCGTACCTCAGGATTGCTTACATGTGTTGCCATCACATACGAGCAATCCTACGGAGACAATGATGATCGAAAACGGAGTCGTGGCAAATCCTCAGCTCGGAGGGGCCAGGTTTCGCGGGCGTAGAGCAGAACTGCTCTCACCGAAGCATTGTAAACTCAACCTATTACAGTTAGACTGACGTCGCGAGGGCGACAAAGGTGACCCAGATTGATGTATGCCACTCTGACTTTCGATTTGCGGTCGGAAATTTCCCCTCACATCTCCACTAGCACTCACATAACTGCCCAGATACATAAACTTTCTGACTACTTCCAACAGCTGGCCACCAAGGGTGAGCGCAGCCACAGGCTCATGCCAATCTTACATTAGTATTTTGCACTTCAGTGGTGTAAAGCACATACCATACATACGGACAGTAACTGCCAACTCATTAAGTGCGACTTGAGTATTCCGTGTTATCGCACAGTAAAACGATATCGTCCACATATTAAAGGTTGAATAGCCGTTCTCTGGGTATTAGATCTATACCCCCGCGCACTTCCTTCAGAGCTGTCTCAAGAATGTCATCGATGGCAAAGTTAAAGAGGAATGGAGAAGTCGGGCAACCCTGGCTAACTCCACTGCTTGTTCGGTACACTGGAGACAGGTGGTTGTATCCCCTCACTCTACCTGTGACATTTTATAGAGCTTTCAGGATGTTATTAAATTCCTCAGGCACGCCCCTCTCTAGAAGACAATTCCAGAGTACAACCATGTCCAACAAATCAAAGGCAGTCCTAATGTCAAGAAACCCCAGGATTGTTGACCTGCAATGTCTGGGGATGTTCAAGCATCTGGCGGAGAGTATACACATGATCAATGCAATTTTGACCTCAACGAAACTCGACCTACTCCATGAGAATCACTTCCTCACGCATTTCACAGTCTGCGAAGTATGATAGCAGCTAATACTTTCGACGCAACTGGTATAAGACTAGTAACCCGATGTGTCACATACGTTACGTAGACCCTTTTCAAAAGTGGGCACAACGATGGCCCCATTTCAGAGTGATGGAACACTCATTCTGCCATACCTTCTCAAACAATCTAGTCAGTACCCCGACTAGATTCGTCCCTCTATCCTTAAACAGTCAGGGTAAATTGTCGGGGCCGGATGGTTTGTGGTGCTAAAGAACTTAGAGTTCCTCATGAACCTTATGGGTCAGGGTTAACTTGCCATGGAGCACAGTACACTGAAACTGAAGATGCTGGAGCAGTGGGCCAGCTAAACTGCTTTTCGGAGTGCGCTACCCAGCGTTCCAGACGTCTCTGAAGATCCTTTGTCAGCGTTCCATCTACCTCACAGATGGTCTCACTGACACCAGGCTACTTGCTGCCAGTAAGTCGGATGAGTTGGAACAGCTCCCAACTATTGTTTGATGCAGTTGCTGCTCCTGTCTTAATTGCGCGTTCTGACCACCACGCCTTATAGTCCCTATGTAAGCGTTGTGTGATATTCCGCGTAAGAGACTTACAGGAACCATTGTACTCCCTAACCACCGGAATGATCCGACGGTCATCGAGAAGTTTCAGGGAGCTCACAGAGACCCAGCGTTTATTAGCAAGACGTTCTTCCCAGACAGACCAGAAGTCTAAGGAATGGAAAGGAGGTGAGTGATATGCGGATAAATACAAAAGGGAAAATGGTAATAATGAAAAAATACAGTTCATATGCAAAAACAACAAAAACAATATAATAGCAATAAGTTGAGCAATTGGTTAACGGGTTCGCAGTGCGGAAAGTTTCAGTATTCGCAGAAAAGTTGATTAATAGCTACGAAATCTTTTTATATTGTAATTTCACAACTCATGTGAGGGCTGGGATACTGTCCGGGCGCCCAGACCGAAGCAGGTCGTTGTCTTAAGGGACCAATCCCTGAGCCTTCGACTTAAAATCCAATCCACAAGGCAGTGGAACTACATCAGGAGCTGCATTCACATGGTTGCCGGTAACCAAAATCCAATCATATGCCATTCGTTCCATCTGGAATCTGGAGCCCATGAATCAGGGTTTTCCAATTCCCCTAGGTGGACCTGCAGTATCCACCAATTCGGTGATAAGCGCCGAACATTCGCTTGTGCCCTTTCACATCTGCCAAAACACCCCCACCACATAAAGGCAGTAAATAGGACTTCTCTGGCCGAGGCTGTGAACGCGTACCAGAGTGTGTGTGTGTGTGAACACACATACCTAAGGAGGAGTAATCGAGCTTGCAGTTGCTGTGTGAATATATAGCTAAATAGCTTCAAAAACTACTGGAACGTGAAACTTTGATAAGCATGAGTAAGAGCTAATCGTATTCATCTATAGCCAAACACTTAATGTAAACGGATCGCAAAAATAATGTCCAAATAGCTTTTAAAGTTGAATACGGAAATAGTCAGGGACGAATACTGCAGTTTGTGGAAGATGGTTTAGGGTGGCCAGATCAAGATGTGGCACCAGTACATGAGGTCTCTAACCGTTGGTCTGAGCCATGTGGGGAGCTGTAGACTATCTGGTTGGAGTCCCTAAGACGACAGGAATTAGTGGTTGAAGTCTCTTAGTGATGTGGTTGAAAACTGGTCACAACATAACAGATGTATTCACACCTTAACATCTTCGAAAGCCTGAATATTTGAGCCAAACGTTATTTTCAAGTTGTTTTTTCAATCATACAACTTGTCTACTTTGAAATCACTCATTTTTTTCCACCTGTTCCTTGTATACTACTGTTAAGTATGGCAATTTGAGCCAATACATTTGTGTGCAAGGTTCTATGTAGGTTTTTTCTATCTCTGTATGATACTAAGCTAGATTATAAGCTACCTGTAGATCCTTCTATAGGTACAGAAGAATAATGGCTGCATTTCCTGAATTTTCGTTACACGGGATTAGACTGCAGGAAAAGGCTCATACATCTCAGCTGCTGAAAGTCTGGAAGGACATTTGAATTAACGTCAATGTGTATATCATGAGCATTCCAAGTATGTTTTAAGCACCCCACATTCTAGATTCATAAAAGTATCCCAAGACTTCTAAGAGGGGAAACAAATATATAAATCACTATTAGAACCAAGATATGAAAATTTAAAACCTGCCTATTGTAAGCCTGAGAACGTGTAGGCCTATCTTTATGGTGTCAAGTATACTTAGTGTAAATTTTGCATGACTAGTTGTCCTTGAAAGCTGTTCTCATAAATTAGATGAGCTCAGCGTAGACTTCTTATACCTACTCTGGCTTGCTAGTTTGTCCAAAACGCTTTCCATATATCATCATCATCAATATCAACATAGAACAAGGCCTTACTGCGTAACGGTCCGAGTTGCCACATCTCATATCACTACACCAAGTAAAAAGGCAGTGAACTGCAAGATGAAAATAAGAAAATTCAGTCAAAAGAATATAAAGTACGAGAAGATAGAAATGAAGAATGAGAAAATGGTGAGATTAGATATAGCGTCGTTTAGATGAGGATAATGTACGAATACGTCTGCGCCACTGACATCGGTTCTGAGCCATATCACCTAGAGTCTCCAACCACCGGTTTCTCTTGACCCGCGGACTCTGACCGGCTAGTCTGCACCGTCCTATATGGCTCAAAGCAACAAAGACTTCATACATTAGTCCTACGTTTTAGTGTGACCACCTCGGGGCTTTTCCCAGCCCGGACCTACTTCGGCTTTCCATATAGCTCAGAGAATAGCAAGGTGCTAACAGTTTGCCAACTCATGAACTGTTTTCCTTGGTACAAATTATTGAAGATTTTTATCCACGACCTATTGAGCATTTTTTTTATCTCCAGCTTGGTTTCCAAACAGAAATGTTATGATAAGGTTAATTTTTAAGGTAAATATTCTGTTTTAGTGTTTTATTTAAAACAAACGCGATACAACATGGGAACCAGGAGATGGGCCATACAAAGAAATGCAGCAACAAAACAGTGATATGAGGCGAAAAAAGAATGGAAATAAAAACAATGGGTTAGTCAAGAGGTGATCTCAAAGTGCATCAAAAGAAGTATTTACTACTTTCGTTTGAATTTCTGAGTAATTGAAAAAGCAGAAAAGCTGAAGTACGATTACTACTGGTTATGATTTAGAGCAGTGTCTGCTGTAGCCTAAGGCTACTGAGTTACGTGGTCCAGGAAGTTGTCAAGCACCAACATTCGCCAACCCCAGCACAACCATGCTTCATCCAACGGCAGTATATCAGACACTGGTCACCTCTAAACTTCTCTTGGTTAGTCCTGAGATGAGAGAACACAGTGGCGTGGGAGCTGCTTAGACGACATTTGCGACACGTATGGACCGCTGAAATCAGTGTATCGAGATGGCTTCACTCGATAAATGACGACCTCTATCACACCTAAAACAAGCCAATCCTATAGGATAAAACTAATCCTATGGAGACAACCGGTCATTGCTAGATTCATATTACTAGCAACTGAACTTAATTAGCAGAAATCAGCATGCGACTTGATATTACTGTTTAAAGTAACAACTTGGCGGAATTTCCGTAAGTTCATTAACATACAAGGTAAAAAGAAAAAGGTGAAATGACTGAAATGAATTCATGGGCCATGTAAAACCCTGGGAGAAAAAGGCTGCGGCGAACGCAGAACTGTGCTGCGACGATTAAAATGAAGATAATGTGCGGATGTATCTGCGTTAATTTGATCGATTCTGAGCCATACAACCCGCAGTCTCCAGCCATTAGTGTCACCTATCCAGTGTACCCCGACCCACACGACTACATTCTCCCCACATGACATAAACCAGTTCTTCTATACTTTATCAACTGACATGATGTTACAGGCTAGTGACCCTCAGTTTCTCCTTCTTGACTGGACTTCATCTGAAGTTGTACCGGCTTAGATGGTGATTAGACATGAGTAAAACATTTCCTATCCACCATCTACGCCGAACTTACAAAAAACTAAATTCTAAGAGCTATATAATGAAACATCCAACATACGATAGTAACTTTAACATCAACCTTATCAACTGGTAGATTTTTATTCTAATACCTCATTAGGTTCACTGAATCTAGAAGATATGATGTATTCAATCCACTACCATAGTTCAAAAACAATAATGAAGATTACGTAAAATGCAGACTTTCTAAATTACCGCGATAAATTCTACCAACCAACTTACAGATTTGGGAAACGAAACTAGTAAACTTGTCGGCCACTTCCACATTTAAAATGTCAAATAATAGCTAACGAATGTTGAGATATTCCACGTATCTTGATATTCACTTCAGTCTAAAGGAAAAATGATAAAAACCACCAGTCCTCATACCAAAATATCAATCAGAACTACTGTTCAAGGTCAAGGGATATACAATACTCGCGCCACAAATCAGTAGGACGTACATCTAACAATGGTACTTGAAGCAGGACATCAGTTGTGTACAACCTATTGGGTCTCGTAACGTACTTTATAGATAGCAGCGTGTAATCTCCGTGTGCACAAAACGCTTCTAAGCTCGTGGTCGTGAGAAATAACTAGTTCACCAACTCCAAAAAAATTAGGTTTGTGAAATGTCCTTCTGTGAACTTGACAAAAGGAGAGGCCAATCACCAATCATTCGTGCTTGCAGTATACTCACAAATTCGAGACCGAAGAAGAACATGATGGCGTAGTTAGAGGGAACAGTATGTCTGAGAAGTTCAAATGGTTGTCCAACAACAACATCCAACATTAATAGTGCGAGTAGAGGAAACTTGCAGTTTTGGAGCTCTCACTTGTGGGTTTTCAAGTTGGTTCCTTTTGCTTGGTCGTACTCCTTTGATGGTCACAAAGATCTTTGTTTTTTCCTGCTTATGGCACAGGGGTAGTGTTTGTCTAGTTGAAGGTGTTTCATTTGCAAATTGTAGCCTTGTTTGTTTAGGGGGCAACGAGCCTGCTGATAACATTAATCAACGTTTGCAATTCCTGTTGTTGTAGCCACCTGCAAGTAAGTGTTAAGCGTTACTTGAAAAGTAACGGGGTGAGCTGGGAATGAAAAGAAGAGAAGTGGAAAGTACTTTTGAAAAGACAAATGTGACTGGTAATAATATAGAGGAGAGATGAGTCTTACTGCATATACTAGGGTTGGGGGAGGGTGTACCAAAAAGTGTTCGTGGGAAGCCATTTGCGCCCACATACTCATCAAGTAGTCGTTTGTAGGAGTTGACTGATGCAGTTGTAGCCACTTCTTTCGGCAGCGCTTTCCATAAGGCACATACTCTATACGAGAATTTAGATCTCACTCCAGTCTTCACCCTATGGTGGGGTATGCGAGTGAAGTTCCCACGGTGTTGTCGGTTTCGGACCGGTAATGTTGTTTCATTTGGATGGTCCACTTGGTGAATGTTCTTGTAGGCTGTTATCGGATCACCTTGTTTTCTTCAATAGTCTGATGTGAACAATTTGAGTTGCCTGAGGCGTTGTGCATATGTTTTGCTTGTTAGTCTGACAACCAACTTTGTTGCTCTCCTTTGTATCTTCTCAAGAGAATTTCCGCCTCTCTTTAGTAGTTGAGAGGCTATCGTGTTGAACACCTCTAGGTGTGGTCTAACGTAGGTTCTGAATACCATGAGGAACAGCTCTGGGGTTAGCAATCCAAGTTACCTTCTTAGAAAGTGCATAATGGCGTTCGCCTTTGCTGCCATTCCTTATAAATACGGTAGTATCCAGTGTGTCGGAAAGGTTTAGTCCTACGTCCTTGTCTGTGGATATCTTGGTGATTGCACGCTTGTTAAGAGTGTAGTTGATTTTCATCGCCTCTGGTTTGCGAAGATACATCACCTTGCACTTCTCCAGATTAAAGCTTAAACCATTTGCAGCTGACCGGGATACTAGCTGTAACAGGTTGTTTTGGAGTATCCCAGGATCCTCTTCGTCGGCTAGCGTCCTCCACATTTTGATGTCGCCGGAGAATAGAAGGATAGACGAGGAGATTTCAGTGGGGAGGTCGTTTAGGAACAGTAAAAATGGGAATGGTCCAAGGATTGCTCCTTGAGAAACTCCTGTTCTCGCATCCCTCCAGGCTGATCGAATTCTGTTTACTTTAGATGTATTACTGGGTTGAGTTGCTCGTCAAATCGACTGCCCAACTGCTGCTCTATCTCACTGCCGTTCAAAGGTTCGCCGGCCGGCCCTGTGACCAGCTTTGAGCCCTTATTCTTCGATTTGCGTTATGATATAGACCAATACAAACTTCTCAGATTGCAACTTAACCGTTTAGCCAGGTTGCTTTGGTATGTACACCTGTCATTACGAATTCTTGTGTTACACGAGTTGCGTAACGCCTCGTAGCTACGGAGGTCCAATTGTTCACGTGACGTACGCCACTGGTGCCATGCCTCCTTTTTCCTCTCTATTTGCCTTCGGGTTGCTCGGGTTACCCAAGACCGTTTGAGAGGTGGCCGTCTAGTTAATTTTTTGGAGCACCCTTTGCGATAGCGCTCCGGATAATATTTTTAATCTGTATCCAGTGCCTGTCTATCGACAGCGAGTGCCATTCTTGTGGCCGTACAGCCTCCAGGAATTCGTTGTTCATGAGGTGGTAGTCTGCTTTTCGGTAACAGCGGAACGCTTCTGGCTCAACTACTGGTAGTGTCTCCTTGGTTATCAGAGAGCATCTCACCAATGCGTGGTCGCTTTTACCTAGGTGGGGTTAAACACAGGTATTGTCGACCAAAAGATCATCGCCTGTTATAGCGTAGTCGAGTGGCGATCCTTTTCCACCTGGCCCCCATCCGGTATTTTCCCCAACCTTCTCCATCAATCCTGCTGCCATGAACGTATTACGAAGTTTGTGTTCGAAAGATTTATGCCCACATCTTACTTCATACCCCGGGTTGGGTGCCGGCGTGTTGAAGTCTCCAGCGAGGACTGCATGGTCATAGGCTGCTGAGGTGGTTGCTGAGATGGCACCAAGTAATTGTACCTTATACTGTGTCGTACAAAAATGAGGCCTATCTACCACTCCTATTGGGTGCTTGGTTTGGTTTATGGTTAAATAGCACCATAAGGAGTCTGGTAGTGAGGTGAACACACACCATCATTCGCTTCCTTGACTTTTAGATGAGCGCTAGTATGTGCAGCAACCCCTCCACCCCCTTTGGACTGCCTGTCCTTTCGAAACAGGGTTATATTGGGCAAACATATTTCCCTATCCACTACGTATTCTGACAGCCACGTCTCCGTAAGGGGAATTATGTCTGCTTGCAGATTACGGCACATTGTTTCTAGCTCCGGTAGTTTACTCCTATGACCTCTGACACTGCTGTAGGAGCATGTTACGGAGCTACGTTCTGTGCTTGGTGCTGTATGGGGATTTGTCTGGAGGCCGGTGTGCCGTTGCATCGGATTCTGCCTGCCAGTCCCTACTGGACTTGCAGGTCCCCGTCTTTTGGCCCCTTCTTGCATCCTGCTGCTGGTGTGGCAGTGTTGTTTATTGTGCCTACAGTTAGCTCACTAGCCAGTTCTTTTCTGACTAGTATTGCTTGTAGTGTTCTCGGGGACTGCCTCCCATCTTCTAGTCTGGCAGCTCATAGTTCACCCTCACAGCATCTTATAGCACCTCCCATGTGGTCTTTCACTTGGTACCATGCTGTGACAGCTTCTGCTAGTGATGCTTTGCAGGCAGGGCGTACAGCTAGCAATCTTGGTGGGGAGATACTCTGCAAGCGCCGCTGACGGGCAAAATTTCCAAGTCCCATTTTTGCTGCCAACCACCTTCAATGCTCGACATCGTGAAGGTAACTATCACGCTTTGCGGATCCACCCACCAGTTCGGATATTCCGTGCACCACCATGGTTGCAGCTTTGTGTAGATCACCAAGCGGGGCATCCCTCTCTGCCTCTCTGGTGACCCAGGGTTTGTCTAGTTTCCCGCTTAATGAGGCAGCAGTCTGCCAGCCGATTAACTAAATCACGTTCACTGTTACGATATGGTTGACGGCTGCAAACACCGTGACATTGCCTCTAGATTAGAGTTGAACCGAAATAAAAGAAGCTTTCGCTTAACTGGCTTTCGCATCTGAAATCCGTGGGTCACTACTTTTTGTGGTAATTAACTTGTGTACAAGTAAAGAAAGGGGGAAACGTGGTGGTTAAAATGTGGAAATTCAACTAGCTCTGGGCAGATCCCAGCCACACGTCAAATAAGCATCTTGCCGACGTTTAAAGGATCCAGGAGAAGTAACCTGGATCACAGCTGCAGGAAGAGCGTTCCAGAATTTAACGACCTGCGGGAAATAGAAGTTATACCTGATATCTAGCCTTCTATGTTCCAGGCTTAGTTTCTGTGTGTGCCCCCTAAGATCAATTCTACAGCTAAGATTTAGTAAGCGACAGCGTGGGTATCTGGGCGTGCTCAGAATGTTTTAGTCACTATCAGGTCTCCTCTGAGTCCCCGAACAAATTTTGCCGAACCTTTCTGAACTCATTCTAGGGTCGGTTTAAGCTTCTGGAGAGAATGGGGAAAGGCGATGGTCGCGAACACCGGGTGAGGTCAAATGAACCTACTGAAATGTTGATGGAGCCGTCCACGATCGAAATGTCTGAAAAATTAGTCTAAGAGTTACCAATGCCAAGTTTCCACGAAATGCATCTTTGCCATGGTTGATATACGATTTTAAGTCCTCAGGGACTAAAATGCCCAAAACCATCTCTGTCCGTGATGCTTCAAGCTCCACGCCATTGAGGCTTTATACATGAGATGCATCGTGTTCTACGTGGATCACCTTGCATCTCTCAAGGTTCAATGTTCATCCGTCATTAACTGCAATGTTGTGAAGTAGAGTTAGGTCTTCGGGCAGAGGAAAACTGTCTTCCGCACTCCCGATTTCTCTACATAGCTTCACGTCATCAGAAAACGGAAGGATTTCGGGGAAACCTGCTGAGACGAGCCGTTCATGTTCAATAGAGAAAGAAGAGGACTGCAATACCAAACGATGGGGAACTCCACCAGCACACTCTGTTTCTTCAGACATAGAAAAACTCACCTGAACTGCAAACGAACAGCGTCCTACATAAAAAGGAAATCGGCCATGGCCACTTCCCTATGAATTCTAATCTATCAATAGGGCGGTCGCGAGTAAAACCATCAAACGCTTTACCAAAGTCTAGGTAGATAACGTCAATTCGTCTGCGACAGTCAAAAATGCTAGTACGTCAACTTACAACTGACACATTAACAACCATGG